AATAAAAAAACATAAAAACAACAAGGTTAAAAAATGTCATAGGTTTTAGAATGTGGTTTCGGGGTAGGCATAGTCTCCCGGGTTAGGTTCTAAAAAACGGTACCCGAGTTCTCCTTGCCGGTGCCCCATTGGGCTTGCCAGACCCTTAGTCCTAAACCCATCACAGGCTTATGTGGACTAAGTTAAACTCGGGAGGATACATTCCCTTATGCCCATACGGAGAATAAATTCCCACGAAGGCATAAGGTATATGAATCCCGAAGGTTACTTGCTAGGCCCATACGGAGAATAAATTCACACGAAGGCGTCGCTTTCACCCCCACTTAAATAGGGTTTGGAGCTCAGGTATAGAGCCTTTAGATGAAAAAGTTTAGAAAGCTGAAATCATTAGAAAACAGTCAGTACAACTATTTACTCGAAAATGTAATCAAAAGTAAGTAATAAGGATCGAAAAATTACCTTAAAATTCAAACTTACCTTTTTCGTTAAAAAGACAACTGAAAATTACCTTAGCCTGACTCACTTACCTGTCCCCAGTGGAGTCGCCAAGCTATCGCAACCGTCTTTCGGTTGGGCCCCGGAATTGGGCTTCGACTTGAAAAATGTGGATTGGAGTCACCACCGATCATTTATTTAAAAATAAATGGGTTGATCGGATACCCTATTTCTTACCTGATCTGCGTCTTACCAGAAATATGTCGGGTTCGGGAGTCGGTTACGGTCAAGGAAGGATTAGCACCCTTGAACCGCCCTTTCGGTACTACGTAATTTCCAGTTGTCTTAATTAAGAAAAATAACAAGTTAAATTAAAAGGTAAAGTTTCGATCCTAATTACTTACCCTTGATTGATTTGAAAAAAAATCGAGAAATGTGTTAGATAAACAAGGTAAAGAAAACAAATAAGATATAAGGGAAAAATAAAATAAATAAAATAAGTAAGTAAGATAAGAAAAAATAGTAAAGTAATAATTATATATAGTAATATTTGAAAAAAGGAAAAAATAAATATATATATATATATATATATCAAAGTATTAATAAAATAAATAAGCTATATATGTACACAAAATACTTAAAAATAGAAAAGCTACCCTCCCAATTCACCGAAAATGGGGGGCTCTAGTAAGAAATAAGACAAAAAATGGGCCCTCTAGGTTAGTAGTATATAATATAATGTTTAATAATGATAATGATAAAGACACAAAGTTTTTTTTTAAAAATAATAATATAATAATAATGAATAAAAAAAATGAAAATAATAAAAAATAATATAAATATATAAAGTTATAAGATATATTACATAAATAAAGAAATAATCAAATAAAAATAATTAAGAATATATATATTTAATAATATGTATATAAATAAACTATTAAAAGTAAAAAATATATACGACTAGATAAAGATAATTTAATATATATAGTAATATTAGACTTATAAGTAAAATATTAAAGAAATATATATATAATAATAATAATAAAATATAGTAAAAAATCAAATGAAAATAATTTAATATATATATACATATAATAATAATAACATGAATAATAAAAATAAATGAATAAAATATCCATATAATAAATAAAGGGACTAATATAGATTTTTAAAAAGCTTTTTCCCTCCTTTAACCGAAAATCAAACCGGTTTTTTTAAAAATAAGCCTCGGGGTAGATCTAGGTTCGAAACTTCGAAACCCCACCCATTTTGGTCATCGGCGCAACCCACGTTTTGGGTTATTCGAACCAAATCTCAAGAAAAATAACGTGCACATGCAAAAGAAAAAAAAAAGAAAATGCTACATTTTATTTCATTTTCGAATCCTTTACAATAGCTTTGCCTTTGTATCTTCCCGTGCTTTTCTCTATGTTTTGTGTATAAATCGTGTCTTACAATGGTGAGTTACAATGGCTATTTATAGTGCTTGTGGATCCTATCTTTAGGAGTTTAAATCATAAAATTCTATCCTATTTTTTGAATCTTAGCAAAATTCTATCATATCTTTAGGAGTTTGAATCCTAAAATTCTATCTTATTTTTAGGAGTTTGAATCCTAATAGGACGAAAAATGTGTGTTGACAGATGGCAAGGCGATGATGCTGTCCGTGAAGTAGCTCTGGGTTCAGTAGCAGATGATACAACTAACATTTGATGTGTGGTTTATGCATATGTAGGTTTGAGTCTGATGCCTTGGAAAGTGACTTTCTTCTTGCTTTTAGAAATAACAGATTCATTTTATGAAATATTCTGGATTCTTAAGGTAAGCTTGTATCATGTCTTGTCTGGCAGGGACAGCATCTGGTGTTTGTTCATTATTGCCTTCTTATTCTTTTCTTTAAAGGCGTAGATCATATTTCCACCCACGGTAGTCAAGCTCAGAGTTTCAAATCGCGGTCGCGTTTTCGATTATTTCGGATTTACAGTGATTGCGGTCATCGTTGGCGCTAGTGCAGCCGTCGCGGGTAACTCGAACGGCGACGAAACCTCTATATCACGGCCGAAATCACGGTTACGGACCGTTTTTTAAGATAATGGGAGGCAAGGAAAAGAACCCAAAAATACACATTTAATAAATAGCAGAGCAAACTTTTCCTTTTCCTTTGTCTACTTAATCAAGTAAAGAATTACATTCCCAAAATATAAGGCGATATTCTTGCATAGAAAAGGACAAGACCAGGTTCCTAACTTCATTGTCACTTGTCAAAAGGAACTTCCATTGTACCAACAGAAGCTACTCTTCTAAGGTATGCAATTCTGGATTTATAACGTAAAGTCTATATATACTCTTTGTATCTGATCATCATTGATTTAGTGTCAACATGATGCAAGGGCTTATCCAAGGACTAAGATCATGCTGGCAGGAAAAGATTAAGGTAGCAATTCTAAGAAATTTAGGAGGCAATAATAACAGTAAAAGCATGTTGTCACGTATGAGATGTGTCACCGTCACTTCGTCTCATCAAGCCATGGAAATGGAAGAGAAGGGATTAGAGATGTACTGCTGACAAAAAGAGACCGACGCGATCGGTCTTGGCTTTCGTGTCACATCAATGACAATGTTGATGATGCCATGAAGAATGTAAGTATCTGGTCTGGTCTGGTATAGTCCGGTGTGGAAAATACTGTTATTAAAAAGAAACAAGCAAAATTTTGCAGATGGCACAACATAACATTGGGTCACTGGTGGTATTAAAACCAGGAGATCAACACCATATTGCAGGAATCATCACAGAAAGAGGTAAAAGAAATGGTTAGTTTAGTAGATTACCTGAGGAAGATCATCTCAGTATAAATTTTTCTTTCCATCTTCTGAGACGTTTTGTTAATTTGTTAGACTACCTGACGAAGATCATCGGGCGAGGAAGATCACCTAAATACACCAGAGTGGGGGAAATCATGTCTGATGAGGTGTTTTCTCTCCTTCCAAACACTTTCTTTTCTTTCTTTCTTTTTTTTTCTTCCCATCATTAAACCTGTCATTTGTGAAACAGAACAAGCTAATTACAGTGAAATCTGATACAAACATTCTTCAAGCAATGCAACTTATGATAGGTAAATAGTGCTTATTGCATTGCATTGCATGGTGATTTATACAAGTCTGAACTCAGTTTCCCTTTGATTTATGGCATTAACTATCCCTTAATAATGGTCCCAGACAATCACATACGGCATGTTCCGGTGATAGATGGGAGAATGGTGGGCATGGTTTCTATAGTAGACGTTGTCCGGGCAGTGGTGGAACAACAAAATGGAGAATTGAAGCGACTTAATGACTTCATTAAAGGAGATTACTACTAGAGTTACACTTTCACCAAATGTAACAAGTGGGAAAGAAGGATATTCTGCAATGCAACGAGACTTTAGAGCAATAAAGTAAAAAAGTGTATTATACTCAATTTGGAAGATAGTTATCCTACTATATTTAATTTCGTGTTTTAATTTAAATTACTGCCTTCGATAAGATTAACTTGACTTCTAATTCTAACCCCTAGTATTTATTTATAAGGATATATATTTGATTACAAAAGAAATTATTTAGTAGAAATCTACTCAAAGTATATTTTTTTACATAAAAAGAGAGAAAAATTTCATGATTCTAATTAAATTAGGTTTCTTATTTTTTTTTCAATTATCTTTTAATTAATATATTCGTTAATATGAGTCAAGTTGAATTTAGGTCAAACTTTAACTGAAACTAGATTCTTTTTATAGTTAATTGCATCACATGTCCTTCAATTATGACCCTTATTCTATATTGCTCTCTAAACTTTTAAATATTCCAATTTCATTCCTAAACTATGACTATCATTATAAATTATTCCTCAAACTATGAACATTTCAATTTCATTCCAAATTATACGTGTAAACCTAATCACATCTTTTGTTAATAAAATCGTTAGTTTAAGTTATATTATTATATGTTTGAAAAAAATAAAATTTAGGTTAGACTATGGTTGAAACTTATTACATATTTGGATGAATTTGAGGATGAAATAGGAAGATTCAAAAGTTTGGGGATCAATTTGGAATGAGAGTCATAGTTTGGGGATGAAATTGGAATATTCAAAAATTTAAAGAACAATTTACAATGAGAATCCTAGTTTGAGAATGAATATCATAATTTGGGGACATATACAGTTAACTCTTTTCTCTTTTTTATTTATTTATAAAATCAATGATTATATGCTGTTATAAAAACAAACGATTAAGTTTTATCAAGTAAGCGACTAAAACTAGAGTTTGACCTGGAAATTGAAAAATTACCTTTATGGCAAGTTTGAGCTGGAACTAACGGTACTCTTCCATCACAGGGGCTATTTAAGACACGATTTGCGCGTTGAGAGATATATGTTATTATATTCTACTCTACTGATAGTTGCATTTGTTAATTATTTACAGCTCATAATATCTTCTTTCTCAGGTTAAGCAATCCGAGAGCCTAGAACAACTGATAGAAGGGCTCTTCTCTTATTTTTTTTTCCGGTCTCTGGGTGATCACAAAGTGTTTGTTTCATTGAAGAAGTTGCATTTGGTATAGAGTAACAAAGGCAGATGAGTCTGAGGGATGATTCTGAAGATGGGAGGGGGAATCTAAGGAAGCCATTCCTGCATACAGGAAGCTGGTATCGGATGGGTTCCAGGATGGGCTCAAGTATGCTGGGATCCTCTCAAGCTCTTCGTGATAACTCCATCTCCGTTGTAGCCTGCGTCTTGATTGTTGCTTTGGGTCCTATCCAATTCGGTTTCACTGTAAGTTGACTTCTTTTTTTCTTTGCTTTGGCTTCTTTTCTGATTTAGCTTTGTGTTTACTACTGTTTGAAAGAAGTTCTGAACTGGGTTTAATTTGTTATTTAGTGTGGTTACTCTTCTCCTACACAATCTGCAATAGTAAAGGATCTTGGACTAACAGTCTCACAGGTAATATTTATCCTTTTATCCCCTTTTATTTTGGTTTGGTTAACTGGATGTTTTCCTTGATTGAACTCTTGCTAATGAGTCCTATTTCTGGGATAGTTTTCTATATTTGGTTCTTTATCAAATGTGGGTGCCATGGTTGGAGCAATAGCCAGTGGTCAGATAGCTGAGTATATAGGACGAAAAGGGGTAATCGAATCACTGATTTACCTTCAGAGTATTTGGTTTCTGTTTTGAATTGGATTACCAAGTATAGTTTCTTATTTGCGTTGCAGGCTTTAATGATTGCTGCAATTCCTAATATAATTGGATGGCTGGCTATATCTTTTGCAACAGTGAGTTCTTATTGCCCAAACTTGATGTAGCTACTTTGGTATAGAATAACTTGATTGTTTACACTTACAAACAAAGCTTGCTGCATTTTGCAGGATTCATCTTTTCTTTACATGGGAAGATTGTTGGAAGGTTTCGGCGTGGGAATAATATCTTATATGGTAATGTTGAACTATGTTCAGTTATTAGGATGGAAATTTTGTTCAAAGGGCTTGAGAGTTTGAGTTGTATGTATTATGAATAGGTGCCTGTATATATAGCTGAGATAGCACCTCAAAACTTGAGGGGCAGTTTGGGTTCAGTGAATCAGGTTGGCTCTAGCTCTGTTTATCATTAGCTTTGTTAATGAAAATTTTCAGAAAAAGCTGTGATCACCTCTTAGGCTGATCAAATATGCAATGTTGTACTGCTTAGCTCTCTGTCACGCTTGGAATAATGCTGGCCTATCTGCTGGGACTTTTTGTTGAATGGAGGATACTTGCTGTTTTAGGTAATCTTTTTATAAGACATAGTTGAATTTGATCATTTGTTTCATTTTTTTTCATCAAAAATGGATTTCAAACTCAGAAAATGGTCTCATATTGCTTCATATTCTTTTTGAATACAACTAATTTATTCACTTATTTTTTTTGCAATGATCAACTTTCCATGTCTATTGTTGACGAAAACGGGTAAAGAAAACAAAAGAACACGAGAATTTTACGAGGTTCGGCAATGTGCTTACGTCCTCGGTGCCTAGGCGGCGCTAGAAGTTTTTATTCAATGATATTTTAGGTCTAGGTTACATCTCTATTTATAATAGAAAACCCTGGTACATAATTACAAAATTAACCCTGTACCTTACCGCGGGGGCTGCGCCCCCGCACCCCCAACCCACATAATTCGTAACCCCACAACGAGACTTTCTTTGTAAGGACAGTTGATGTTCGCTTCGCTCACTCCGCTCCATCTCCTGTCCTCTTTACTGGTATATTTATGAGCCATACCTAACAAATCTCCACCTTGGCGAATATCCTGCCTCTTGGAAAATTCAATGTGGGTTGGGTTACCTTGATTCTTTAACAACTCGAAACATTCAACAAGTCCAAGCAATGCTTGAACTTGTCTGTCGTAACTGGCTTAGTGAACATATCAGCGGCATTTTCATCAGTATGTACCTTCTGAAACAAAACCTCTCCAGATGCAACCAACTCTCTGATCTTGTGGAACCTTACATCAATATGTTTAGTTCTAGCACGATACACCTGATTCTTAGCCAAGTGAATAACACTTTGATTATCACAAAGCAACTGAACTCCACCTTGTTGAACACCCAACTCCTTCACTAAACCAGTAAGCCATAAAGCTTCTTTTGCAGCTTCAGCCGCTGCCATGTACTCAGCTTCAGTTGTAGATAGAGCCACAATAGATTGAACAGTAGACTTCCAACAAATAGGCCCTCCACCAAGAGTAAAGACATACCCTGTCGTAGATCTTCTATTATCCAAGTCACCTGCATAGTCTGAATCCACATATCCTACAACCAAAGGATTATCCCGCTGACTCCCAAAAACAATTTCATGTCCCACAGTACCCTTTAAGTACCGAAAGATCCACTTGACTGCTTCCCAATGTTGCTTACCAGGTTTAGACATGTACTTACAAACTTGACTAACAGCATGAGCTAAATCAGGACGAGTACATACCATCGCATACATCAAGCAGCCAACAGCATTAGAATACGGAACCTTTGCCATATCTTCAGCTTCCTTATCTGTCTTGGGGCACTGTTCTGATGAGAGCTTAAAGTGATTCGCCAATGGAGTGCTAACTGGTTTCGCGCTGCTCATCGCAAACCTTTCTAGCATTTTCTCAACATAACCCCGTTGAGATAGTCGCAGTTTCCTTGAGTCTCTGTCCCTGCAAATTTCCATTCCAAGAATTTTCTTTGCAGCACCTAAATCTTTCATATCAAATTCCTGACTCAATAAAGTTTTCAAACTGATAACATCATCCATGTTCTTCGCAGCAATCAGCATATCATCAACATACAGTAATAGAAAAATAAAAGAACCATCATCAAGGCTCTTAACATAGACACAACAATCATACTCACATCGGTTGTAGCCAATCTTGATCATATAGGAGTCAAACCGTTTATACCACTGTCTCGGAGACTGTTTCAACCCGTACAAAGATTTCTTCAATCTGCAAACTAAATGCTCGTTTCCAGGTTGAGTGAAACCTTCAGGTTGCCGCATGTAGATCTGCTCCTCTAAATCACCATGCAAAAAAGCAGTTTTAACATCCATCTGCTCTAAATGCAAATCCCAACTAGCCACCAATGCAAGTACTGCTCGGATTGAAGTGTGCCTGACCACAGGAGAAAAGATTTCATCATAATCAACTCCTTTCTGCTGTGAAAAACCCTTCGCTACCAAACGAGCCTTGAACTTCTCCCCCTCTTTTTCTGTTACTACTGGTTTCTTTTTATACACCCATTTGCAACCAATCGGCTTCTTACCCTCAGGAAGGGGAACTAACTCCCATGTGCGATTGTGATTCAAAGACTCCATCTCCTCAACCATGGCTGCCATCCACTTGTCGTTTTCCTGACTAGTAACGGCATCATGAAAAGTAACCGGATCATCACTGCTAACAATAAGTGCAAAAGATACCAAGTCTTCAAAACCCAATCTGTTCGGAGGCTTTATATTCGTCCGTCTCACCCTGTCTCTGGCGAGACTATAATCCTGCAAATCATCCGTAGTGGAACCACCAGAAGTTGGTTGAGAAGTTTCTGGTTTCTCAACTGGAAACTGCTCGAAATCCACCACTGTCGTGTCTTGCTTCTGCTGCAACATGGATTGTTCATCAAAAACGACATCTCTACTAATCACAACTTTCTTTGCAACTGGATCCCAGAACTTGAATCCTTTGACACATTTCTTGTAACCCAGAAAAATGCACTCCTTCGATTTTGCATCAAGTTTGTATCTCTCATCAGCAGGTACATGCACATAAGCAGGACAACCAAAAATCCGTAAGTTATCAAAACTAACATCATGACCAGTCCATACCTCTTCTGCAACTTTCCCAGCCAGCGATGCCCTTGGCGATCTGTTGATAAGGTAACACGCCATGTTAACAGCCTCAGCCCAGAAGTGTTTGGGAAGCCCCGCATTCAACCGCAAACATCTGGCTCTTTCATTCAACGACCTGTTCATTCGTTCCGCAACACCATTCTGTTGTGGTGTCTTGCGCACTGTAAAATACCTCTGAATCCCATGCTCCTTACAGAATTGTAGGAACTGTGAATCTGTGTACTCCGTACCATTGTCAGACCGCAAACACTTGATTTTTCGTCCTGTTTGGTTTTCTACCTCAGCTTTCCACAGCTTGAACTTCTCAAAAACTTCAGATTTCTGTTTCAAAAAATACACCCAAACTTTCCGTGAAAAATCATCAATAAAAGTAACATAGTACCTAGATCCACCCAAAGACGATGTCGTGGAAGGCCCCCATACATCAGAATGCACATAATCAAGAATCCCTTGAGTTGTGTGCTTCGCAGTCTTGAAACGGACTTTAGTCTGTTTACCAAGAACACAATACTTGCAAAAGTCGAGCTTACAGCTTTTGACACCATGCAACAAGTTTCTCTTGTGTAATTCTGCCATACCACGTTCACTAAGATGAGCAAGGCGCATATGCCACAATTTTGTCGTATCATCACAGGACTCAACAGAGTGAACTCCACCTGCAACGGTACTCCCTAACAATCTGTAGATATTCCCTGCAGTCATCTTGCCTTTCATCACAGTCAATGCTCCTTTAACAATCCGAATGGTTTCCCTATCCTCGTCAGCCTTAGGGATAAAACCATTCTTGTGCAAAGTGCCCAAGGAAATCAAATTCTTCTTCAAGTCTGGGATATGTCGAACACCACTCAACGTCCGAACGGAGCCATCGTGCATCTTAATTCTGACATCACCAATACCAACAATATTGCAACATCGATCATCACCCAAATAAACCGAACCAGAATTAACCGGCCTGTATGTCGAAAACCATTCCCTATTTGGCGTGATGTGATAAGAACATCCAGAATCAAGAATCCAAGCATCCGTCAATTGTGTCGTTGAAATAGAAAGCATATCACCCTCACTGCAATCAGAATTATCATCCTCGACCACGTTCACAGACTTGGATGAGCCATCACGCTTCTCATCTGTCTGCTTTTTCAACTTCGGACAGTCTCGCTTCATATGTCCCGCCTCCTTGCACTTGTAACAGTGAATCGTCTTCTTATCCCTGGATTTGGATCTGGAATTCCGCTTCCCGGACCCTGCCTTCTCTGGCTTCCGTCCACGATCTCGATTACCCTTGACATATAAGCTATCGGCTTGAGAGCTTTCCCCTGCATTCTGCTTCCGCTGGTTGTGAGCCAACAAGGCTGCAGTAATCTCCTCAACATTGATAGTCTCTTTCCCATATGTAAGAGTAGTCACCATGTGTTCGTAAGAGGGAGGCAACGAACACAACAGAATCATCGCTCTGTCTTCATCCTCAATTTTCACATCAAGCCGAGCCAGATCAGAAACGATTTGATTGAAGACATTCACGTGTTGCGCCAAATCGTGATCGTCCTGCATCTTCAGCCCATACAGCCGCTGCTTCAGATACAGTTTTGTCGTTAAGGATTTGGACATAAACTGACTTTCCAACTTCCTCCAAATTTCGTCTGGAGACGATAGATGCATGACGTGATACATGACCTCGTCCGCCAAGCATAATCGTATGGTTCCTGCCGCTCGCTGCTGCAATTCTTCCCAATCTTCCTCATCCATCGACGCCGGCTTTGTAGATCGCAAAGCCTTCAAGATCCCTTGCTGCGCCAATAGATCCTTCACCCTCGTTTGCCATAATCCGAAGTTACCCTGACCATCGAATTTCGCGACTTCGAATTTTGCTCCTGACATCTGATACCAATTGTTGACGAAAACGGGTAAAGAAAACAAAAGAACACGAGAATTTTACGAGGTTCGGCAATGTGCTTACGTCCTCGGTGCCTAGGCGGCGCTAGAAGTTTTTATTCAATGATATTTTAGGTCTAGGTTACATCTCTATTTATAATAGAAAACCCTGGTACATAATTACAAAATTAACCCTGTACCGTACCGCGGGGCCTGCGCCCCCGCACCCCCAACCCACATAATTCGTAACCCCACAACGAGACTTTCTTTGTAAGGACAGTTGATGTTCACTTCGCTCACTCCGCTCCATCTCCTGTCCTCTTTACTGGTATATTTATGAGCCATACCTAACATCTATAAAGCATTTACCAGCATAGTCTTTGAGACTGATTCATTTTCAGTGCTTTGAAACACTATTTGAAATCATTAGTAGATCATGGCAAAAGGAAAATAATCAAGATTAACTAATTTTTTCCTTTGTCAGGAATACTTCCTTGTACAATTTTGATACCTGGTCTATTTTTCATTCCTGAATCTTCTCGATGACTGGTAAGCTCGAGAACAAGGTTGTAACTTAAGCATTCTCATGCAGATATATGATCTCCTGATTCAAACTTACTTTCCTAATTCAAGGCAAAAATGGGTATGACAGAAGATTTTGAAGCTTCTTTGCAAGTTCTCAGGGGTTTTGATACTGATATTTCTATTGAAGTGAATGAAATCAAGGTAATAATAAGCAGTTTAACAGCTTTTGTTCAATTGCATACCTTTCAACATGGTTTGCCACTTACATTTTTGCAAGTTCTCGTTCAAAAGTTCAATTATTCATTAACTTGACAGAGATCTGTAGCATCAACTACTAGAAGAACTACAATTCGGTTCACAGAACTCAAAGAAAGGAGATATTGGTTTCCATTGATGGTAAATTTTAATAGCTAATCACAAGCTTCGATCTTAACTTTCCATTCATCTGAATTGTCCTGGGTCTTGTAGCCGGATAAAGAGGGATCTAATTGGTTTCATGGCCAAACTCTTTCAGGTTGGAATTGGATTACTTATGCTGCAACAGCTTTCTGGCATTAATGCTGTCTTATTCTATTCCAGTACAATTTTTGAAGCTGCTGGTAAGCTTTAAAGCTTGTTGAAATTTTGTCATTGGTGTTGCCTATTCCTTTATATTGTTTACAAGTATGTCAAAATCCAAAGTTTGCTGATGCTTATGTTATTTTAGCCATATTTGTTAGCCAAAAGTTAAATGTTCAAGCTCAAACTTCAAAGGCTTAACTAAACGACTTAACCTCGGTTTTGACAGGGGTTAAATCAAGCAATGCAGCCACCTTTGGAGTCGGTGCCATTCAGGTATAGCTCGAAAAATGCCACAGATTTTTTCTTTTCATCGATCCACAGACAACTTACCGGAATTATGCACACTTAGGTCATTGCTACTGCCGTAACCACATGGTTAGTGGACAAAGCAGGCCGCCGGCTTCTGCTTATAGTAAGTTTACTCTACTTTACGACTGTCCCGACATGCCCCTGACCTATTTTGATTAATACCATAAACCTATCTACGATGGGGTTAAGAGCCGGCACAAAAAGAGTTCATCGTTTGCAATTTACTTTCAGGTATCCTCTTTCGGAATGGCACTCAGCCTCTTAATTGTTGCAGTATCATTCTTTTTAAAGGTAATGAAATGATTGAGTAATATTGAAGTTTATATTTCTTTTGTTCAGTTTCATCTAAACTGTCGCAACCGTCTTTCGGTTGGGCCCCGGAATTGGGCTTCGACTTAGGAAAATGGATTGGAGTCGCCACCGATCATTTATTTAAAAATAAATGGGTTGATCGGATACCCTATTTTTTACCTGATATGCGTTTTTACCAGAAATGTGTCGGGTTCGGGAGTCGGTTATGGTCAAGGAAGGATTAGCACCCTTGAACCGCCCTTTCGGTACTATATAATTTCCAGTTGTCTTTAATTAAAAAAATTGTAATTTTAAATTGAAGGGTAAAATATCGATCCGAATTTCTTACCGTAAGTTGATTTGAAAGTTGTACCCTTTTAAAAGTGAATGCGTTAGAGTGAAGAAAACAAATAATATAAAGAAAATAAAATAAAGGGGAAAAAGAATAAAACAAGATAAAAAAAAGCAAATACAATATATACATAAATAAACAAATAAATATGAGTGCATAAATCAAAGATAAAGGAAATAAAAAAAAGAAAGAAAACTAAATAAATAATTAAATAAATAAATAAATAGATAAGATAAGATAAAGAAGAAAGGTAAAGAAATAATATTTACATATCGCACTACTAGAAAAGGAACATATACGTATACATCAAAGTACTATCAAAACATATAAATTATATACACATATACATAATAAATATAAGAAAAAGTAAACCTACCTCCATCACTTCAATATTAAAAAAAGGAAACCTACCCCCCATCACCCCACCGAAAATTGGGGGAAACTTTAGTTGAAAACAATATAATACTTAATAATTAAAAATGAACAAAGAAAATATATATATGCATATAATTAAATATGAGGGAAACCAAATAAAAATAAAAAGAAAATATATAAATACGTTAATAGTAATAAAGGGGAGGAAAGAAAAAGGAAAGAAAAAAATATTACATACGTAAAGAACAATGATAATGATATTAGTTAAATATATACATTTATATATATACATAATGACTTATAAAAATAATAAAGATAATCAAGTGGCAAGCAAAAAGTACATAGTAATAAAATATTAAAAGTATATATAGTTAATAATAAAATATGGTAGTAATATAGAATATAAACATATGTGTATTAACATACCGAATGGAATTGAAGAAAATAAATAATAAAAAATACATATAAATGCTAATAATCAATGTTTAAATTAAGAAAAAAAAATAATAATAAAGTATGTGGGGGATCGAATTGAATGAAAACAGAAGTGGGGATCGATTTTAAGAGAAATTAGGGGTTATAATGAAAGAATTAAATAAAGGAGGACCAAAACCGTGGTTTACCCTATTTTAAACCAAAAAAAATGTTTAATATCTCCTTTCCTTCTTTGTTTCAGTTCGAGAGCCCCCCCATTTCTGATTTCTCTCAAGTGTTCTTGAGTCTCAAGAACAAAGGTCGTGGGTCTCAACAAACCCAGAAAACGGCCGCCCCTTGCCGCCTCGCCGGCCACCGTTGAGCGGCGCCGGCCGCCGTTCATCGGCGGCAAACCTTAAAAAAAATTGATTTTTTCGAAGGTCTTTCTTCTCCCCTTTTCGAATATCAAAACTATTTTTTCAAAAAATTAGGCCTCGGGGGTAGATCTAAAAGAAAGATCCCGACTTTTCCCCCTTGGATCCTCGGCCAAATCTCCTCTTATGAGGTTTTTTTTAAACGAATGGAAAAGCACAGTGAGAAACAACGAAGGCCGAAGCCGATTACACCCAACAGCCGAAATGAAACGAGGTAAAAATACCTTTTATTGATGCTCCTTTGCGATTTACAAATGCCTTTTTTTTGTGTACAACCCTCCCTCTTTTTTTCTTTCAAACTGATTACAATAGCTTCGAGTACTTCTATATTTCTCTGGTATTTCCGTAGGACTTTCGTATCCCCCCCATACAGTATGGATTACATTATATTTATAGTGTTAAAATAAAATATATTTTTAGATCCTAATCTCACTAGAAGTCTAATGCGTGTTGTTTATTGTTTGTTGATGACCGAGATCCTTGAGCCGGAAGACACGGGCTGTTGTGGGTGAGAAACGTACGGCTGTGGGAATTTCGAATGGGTGAAAACGGCGCTGCCAGGAGGTGTGTAGCTAGGGTTCTAGAAACTTGTGGGCTGCTCACGTATGTTGGGTCACGTGGGACTTGGGTATGGTGTGTTGGACCACATGTGATTTTAGGCCTGTAAAATGTGAAACATAAGTAAAAATAAATAAATAATAATATATGTTTATTACGCATAAATGGATGAAATGGAGGGTGTCTACAGCTGCCCCTCTTTGCTTATTATCGTGTAACGAAAATGGAGCAAAGATTAATAGACACAAGTTTCATCCATATCGAAGGTCCCCTGTCGTAGAGATGAAAACAGATGTTGAAGCTGGCTTGTCGATCACGAAACGACTCTATCGTCGTGAAGTTGGGTCAAAACTGGAAAATTTTGAGCACGAAATCCTTCGTCGTGAAGTTGAAACCGAGCTCAAAGTTTTTTGACAAGTGGCCTCTGAATCGTCTTCTGGCTCAAGGTACTTCGTCGTGAAGCTGAAACTTGACTTGAAGACTTTGGTGTTGTGGTGTTACAGATGACTCATTCGTCGTGAGGTTGGGTTCATCTGTTAGGGCATGATACCCTTCGTTGTGAAGTTGTGTATAGCCCCTTCGTCTTGAAGTTGAGCCTGGGAACTGGATATCCTTCGTCGTGAAGTTGAAATCCAAGTGAGTAGTATTGTTCCGAGTCCAATATCCTCCACCGTGGAGTTGAAATTGGTTCTGGAACTGGGAAATTGTTTGTTGACAACCAGTCGTCCCTTCGTTGTGAAGTTGAACTTGTGTTGTCTGGAGTCCAATATCCTTCGTTGTGGAGTTGAAATTGGCTCTGAAATTGAGAAATGTTTGTTGACAACCAGCGGTCCCTTCGTCGTGAAGTTGAACTTGCGTTGTCTGGAGTCCAATATCCTTCTTTGTGAAGTTGAAATTGGCTCTGAAATTGAGAGATGCTTGTTGACAACCAGCGGTCCCTTCGTCGTGAAGTTGAACTTGCGTTGTCTGGAGTCCAATATCCTTCGTTGTGAAGTTGAAATTGGCTCTGAAATTGGGAAATATTTATTGACAACCAGCGGTCCCTTCGTCGTGAAGTTGAATTTGCGTTGTCTGGAGTCCAATATCTTTCGTTGTGAAGTTGAAATTGGCTCTGAAATTGAGAAATGTTTATTGACAACCAGCGGTCCCTTCGTCGTGAAGTTGAACTTGCGTTGTCTGGAGTCCAATATCCTTCGTTGTGAAGTTGAAATTGGCTCTGAAATTGAGAGATGTTTGTTGACAACCAGCGGTCCCTTCGTCGTGAAGTTGAACTTGCGTTGTATGGAGTCCAATATCCTTCGTTGTGAAGTTGAAATTGGCTATGAAATTGGGAAGTTGTTTATTGACAACCAGCGGTCTCTTCGTCGTGAAGTTGAACTTGTGTTGTCTTGAGTCCAATATCCTTCGCTGTGAAGTTGAAATTGGCTCTGGGTAAAACCTGCAAAGATATGCATATATGTGATGTTATGGATGTCATGCTCTTAGGTATGCCTAAAATGCATATGCAACATATGTTATTCTGGGCTCTGGAGAGAAATCTCGATCTCCGGTGGACTGTCGTTGTTGACTCTTGGTTTTGAAATCTGATCTTGAATTCTTCAAATGTTTAAAACTGATGTGCACATTCTATTTTTTTGATTTGGGAGATGCTCATCAACCATCTCAAGTATGTGCATGAGCCTTGATCAGTTTTTGGGTACCTGTACTATTCAACGAATCTTTGTATAGTAATATGCGATTATATTTTGCAAAAGTAAATAAAACATTAGGTTTAAATCCAATTCAAGATGCACAAAAGGAATTGATTTTGAGGAAAGATTACCTTTATTCATAAGGGAGAAGAAGAACAAATAATACATGACGAACATTCTAGAAAATGAATACATGGTGAGGTGTAACTGAATGTCTCAGATCTCGATAATGTAGGCACTTCTGAGCTGAAAAGCCATTTGGTGACCTTGAATGCAGCCTTTGCCAAAGGATCTTTGAAAATGTGACAACGTTCAGGAGAGTGCAACATTTCTCTGATTTATTGAGTTTGCAGAAGATTCATGTGCCGGGATGTTTCCACTGTTAATATCCAAATCGCCCTTTCCGGGTTTTCAACTTGGACCCATCTTTGGTTGCAAGACGCCCTTTGCGGGTTTTCATCTTGAACCCCCCTTATTTTCTCTTCTTTCGTTCTTTTTTTCTATTTTTTTGTTTTTATTTTTGTTTTTGTTTTTTTTTCAACTTAGGACTCCCTCTCGGGTTTTCATCCTAAGCGAAGTATTTCTTAACTGCGTCCGAGTTGATGGGATGTGGCAGTTCAGGTCCGTCCATTTCAGCCAGGACGAGGGCTCCTCCGGAGAAAGCCTTTTTCACGACATAAGGTCCTTCCCAATTTGGCATCCATTTTCCTCGGAAATCCTTCTGGACTGGCCAAATTCTTTTTAACACTAGATCCCCTTCGCGGAATATTCTCGGGCGCACCTTTTTGTCATGTGCCCGAATCATTCGTTTCTGATAGATTTGACCATGATGAATGGCTTTCAGTCTTTTTTCCTCTATCAGATTAAGCTGATCATATCTGGATTGTGCCCACTCTGCATCATCCAGTTTAACTTCTGACAAGACCCTGAGAGACGAAATCTCGACTTCAATGGGTAGCACTGCTTCCATTCCATAGGCTAATGAAAATGGAGTTGCCCCAGTCGAAGTTCGTACCGAGGTTCGATAAGCGAACAAAGCAAAAGGCAACTTCTCATGCCAGTCTTTGTAAGTTTCAGCCGTTTTCTCCACTATCTTCTTAATGTTTTTGTTTGCTGCTTCTACTGCTCCGTTCATCTTTGGTCTGTAAGCAGTGGAATTGTGATGTTTTATGTTGA